TTCTTCTTCTTCTTCTTCTTCTTCTTCTTCTTCTTCTTCTTCTTCTTCTTCTTCTTCTTCTTTATAGGCTAAACCAAAGCTTACGGCACATCGTGCACCGTGAGAAATAAACAATCATTCCATTTACCCATGCTGTGGGGGAAGACCCTTGAGAAAAAGGAATGCTCGAGGAAGACCAATCTGTTAAATTATGTCTTTGTGGTGGCAATACTAAATCATATACCCCTAGGGGTATGTGGTATAAGGAGCTCTGACCCTCATCACTTGTGGCTGGTCAGTTTTTCGACATCCGCTCTTACTCGTCGTGAAGCTTTTCTTTCAAGCGCTTTCCCCTTTTATTTATGGAATTTCAGCTACTTTGTCAATACGTGCTTGTACAGGAAACGTTAAAGTTTATTAAATGTATCCTTTTGTTATTTTTTAAGTGAGCAGGTTTCCATCCTGAACCACCAGTGTGTACTTCACGGGACGCAGTAGGGTCTGCATTTAACGTGATGATTCCCACCCCACAATAACTCTATATTTCCTCCAAATCCCAGACACCCGCTTTCTTCTTTGTGACCGGCAGGGCATACTTATGGTCCCTGTTCTTGACCGTGCGCCCTGGTAGTTTGAGCGCCCAGGGACATCCGGGTGGTCGCCCTGATCCCGGCGTCATAGGCCAGTTCCAGCCACTCCATGGCCGTCAGGATAGAGAAGCCCAGCCAGAGCCCCAGCTGACCGCCAATGTCCGAGAGGAGTCGGTTCCAGTCGTAGGACGGCCGAGATTCCACACGCCGCACTGCCAGATCCTCGTAGAAGATGGCAACGCGGAGAAAGTTCCTTTTCATTTCCGACATCGCAGTATTTAAATTAGCTTGATCAAAACCCAGGGCTGTCATCTTATAAGGGATTGCGTTATTGCTAGGCCAGATAGCCGTAGAGAGAGCCACATCATAGACTACCTCTTCGCAAGGAGGCAAACAACGGCTCAGGCAGTCCAGCTCTCCTTTTTCAAACATCTTGAGGACTTGCTTTTTGCAGACGAATTCGTCAGTGTTTGTGGCATTACAGAACGAGATGTTGTTGTAGATTTCTGGAGGACATATGAAATGTAGATCACAGCAACCACATTGACGGACCAGCTCTCGCATGTAGCACGTTTTGCGGCAAGCCTCTGCCGTGTAACGGGTCCCTTCAGTAAATGAGAACATGTTCAACTCAACATTCGGTTCATCTGTAAGCTCCACACATGCGCTGTACGGGGGCGGGGTTCGGCTCATCTCCACCTGAAAGTACAAAAAAGTGCTATCTCTCTCTCTAAAAAAATTACTATATTAAGCTGGAGATCCTTGGAATCATGTTGATCACCGTGAATATACAATGCACAGGGTGTCTGATAAAGATGGCTTATTTAAACAGCAATACCCAGTCATCTTTTCACCAATTTTAACAAAACATTCAACAAATAACATTTAAATTCAGTCAAAGGGACACCAAATTTGCCAATATGAAGAACATTGACTGACGCGCTCGTGCAAGATCAAGTTAAAAAAAAATCAAACCACAATTGAGTACAGCGCAAAATTTCACACCTTAAATATCAACCATGATGATCATTTGTGCATTAAAGAACAGACGTTTAAAATTGACATTGCTAAATAAACTGATAAACAGGCGAGGCTATTTAAACCATAATGCTTCAGTTGGCGGTCATTTGTCTCAAGACATTCAATGGGCCACGTTTCATGGTCGATTATTTGGACCATCTGCTCAACCTTGAGTTTCAACTGTTTGAATGTTTATTGATTGTTTGTTTTTGTAAATCAAGTCAGTAGGTTTTCTTCATAATGAAAAGTTGATGTCCTCTTGGTTATAGTTTGCGAGTTCTGTTGAAACTTAAAGCATGACCAAGGTATCACTCTTTAAATGGGCCCTCCTTAATTAGACACCCGGTATGAAGCTTCAAACCTCACTTTGGAAAGCAAAAGGGAAATGGCAATTATAGTGTTAGCAGTAGTAGTCGTGTTAGTTGTAGTATAAATAGTAGCAGTAATAGTAGTAGTGGTAGCAGTGGAAGTAGAAGCAGTAGTAGTAGTAGTAGTAGTAGTAGTAGTAGTAGTAGTAGTAGTAGTAGTAG